GGATTGTTTGTGGTTTTACCTGGTCTAGGCCCATGGGGACCATAGGGGGCCAAGTGGATAGACTATTTGACTATCTGAATCTATGGGGGTGCATTTTTAGACTTCTGCTTTTCCATTGAACTTATTATGGCTTAGGCTCTGGGGACACTGAATCTGGCAATTGTGTGTCAGAATCCGCACTCAACTACAATGAGTGCATGCGGAAGTGAAGCATCTGAAGTTTTTTAAGTGTTCAATCTTTGTCGAAAAGATCGGAAGATATCGGAAGACCAGGTCGGAGAGTGTACGGGTCGCTTAGCGATGCTAGTTTTTTTGCTACACGTATTCGTTTTTAGATTCTTTAAAGGAGGGTTTGCTTCAGGTGTCACTTTTTCAGTCAAGCCTGGCCTTCTGATTTTATAGTATTTTTCTTGTGTTGGTCGATGATGATCTTGATATTATAGTGGGCATCTAGGGTCTGGAGCCTGGTTTTTGCTACAGAATTAGGTGATACGGGGTTGACCCTGAATTGACACGGGGATTTTAAGGGTATAAATATCAATATAATATGTATATTACATAAACTCACACCCCCAAGAATAGATATACACCAAGCAGTTTAAAAAACACCCTTCCGAACTTCCACTACACTTGAATTGAGGGACTTGTAAGCCCGACCCGCAGTTGTGAATCAGTGAATCCTCTTGGCCTTTGTTCTGCGTTTAATTCGTTTGCGCCCGATGCTTGAGCGAACCAACAACAAAAAGGTTTGCAGTCGGCTGCTACTGCATCAAAGAGTTCTTTCGGAATCATGAGAATTGCTTGTCAAAGTTTGCCTTATTGACCTCAAGTTTGCATGCCTAGGGCATGACAATGCATCCAACTCAATGATGTTTATTTTGTTTCAAACCAATCACGGGGGACAGATATAGAGTCACAGTCGAACATTTGATGCGCACAAACTCTTCCCTTCGCGACCAGCACTGCCAAAGAAGCTTGCGGACATGTATCGAGTTGCTGATCGCATGTATTTTGCACCCTCGATTGTTGCAACTAGATTGCTGCCTCGACAAACTTCAGTTCTCCGAAGTCACGGTTATGGACCAACAGCTGCTGGCGCTCTCCGTGCATACAGGAGGAGGAATGCGCAGCGAGATCGCAAAGGACGTTATGCTGAAAAAAGCAGCGAAAAACCTCTATGCTTCGCAGTGGCAGCAGGTCTTTCTCGAGTTTCCATGTCGACCAATCGGAGGCGTTTATCCTCCTTGCCCAGAAGTGCGGAGAATGACAACTTGGGTAGCACCGTGACACCTGCAGTTGCCACAAGCTCTGATGGTCCGACTACAGGCGTCTACGAAACCATTCGATCGACAGATTCACTTCCTGTTGACTTCACAAGCGTGAATTCCCTGGGCGTTGACGGCATAAGCCCGGAGATTGGTGCCGAAGTTTGGATTCGGGCTCGCGTTGCCACGATCCGTGTCAAGGGCAAATCCACCTTCGTTGTACTGAGACAAAACAGCTTGCACACAGTCCAGGCCTGCAAATTCAAGGAGAAGGAAGACGGGGGCGAAAGCGCAGCAGCAGTGGCCCGCTTCTTCAAATCGATTTCACTGGACGGCCGTTTTTCTTTGCAATCGGGGGGTCTCATTGATGTCACTGTTTTACTGCTTTGCAAAGCGCAGTGATGTGCCTGCTTGACTTTCCATCTACTCCAGTCTACTTGCAGGAAAGCATTGTTGATGTTTGTGGAGTTCTTGCTGAGGCTTCGACAAACAACTTTGGCTTTTTCTTGAGTGTTCTGAGAACAACCACTGAGTACAAAGATGTGGAGACACCTCTCACTATCACTATCTATGCACACGATGCATCCCAGATCGTCGTAACAAGTCTTCAGACATTCTGTAAGAAAACTGTTTGCTTTGACAAGGCAAATGTATCCAGCTGCACCCAGAACAATGTCGAGCTGCAGATTAGACGAGTGTTTTGTGTGAGCCACGCAGCGCAGCAAGGAGCTCATAGTATGTTTTCAAACTCTGCAGAATCTCAGAGCCAATGCATGACAAATCGCTTGAACGCGTAAATCAAGTGGTCAACTCGTCTACTGAATTTGAGGCAGCTTCCATTTCTGCTCGCAGATGCTCAGCGAAGCGAGGATCCTGAATGAGGTTGCTTTGTTGAGGTGTTCACACTGTATAGAATATATACACATTGCACATTGTTATAGGGTCTCTTTGCTGACACCTAGCAGTTGTGAAGACTGTCAAGTGTGGGAACTGAATGCTGAACCTGGACTCAGGTAAACAATGGTAAACACAGATTACTCAGGTTCAAAAACGTCTGTGTGTGGTGCTAGACCTAAACCCTACCCTACCCTACCTACCCTAGCCTACCCCAGCCCACCTGATGGGACTCAACCCCCCATTAGATCATTATAGATCATTATATATACTGTATAAGATTCCCAGGACTCCAAGGTGAAGGTGTTCTTTCATGTCCTTTCTCTCCGCCTAAAGTCTTGGATGCTGCAGACATAGCTTGTCCAGTGCAGGAAGAGATCCTTGCATCACAAGGCAGCAAGAGACCGTTTGCAAGGGGCTCAGCCACGGCAGTTATGACTCCTTCGCTTTTCAAACTTCAAACCAGCTGAAGCTTCGGTCGCTGCTAGAAACTCCCCGAACGAAACGAGAAGCTTGGGGCACTTTAGGATGCTTAGGTAGAAATGCTGCCCAAACCAGACATGACATGATGAGTGTACCTTTTATAAATGCACATATGGCCTGTGAATGTCGAGTCACAGGTCCGAGTACTGCCTGACCTTCGTTTAGACAGTCGGTGGCTTGACCTGCGGGTTAGGCCCTCAGGCATTGACCATTTCTGTACGTACTTTTTGCAACAATCACTCTTTGCCGAGCCTCAGAACGAGGTCCCTGCCCACAATGCAATTCTTCGTATTCAGGCCAGGTTTCTCATGTTTTCTCTTGTCTTTTTGCTGGGTATTTTGTTATATTTTGTGGCGTCAGTGCTGTCCCTTTGTGCAGTCAGCGGTATGTCGAAGCTTCCGGGAAAGCCTCAGCCAACGTGGATTTGTGGAGTCACGGGCTCATTTAAGATGCTAATATTATGTATTACTTCTGGCTAATCACATTGTGAGAGCTTCTTAAATATGCCGAGGATTCACTCGCCCAAACTGATTTCTGGTGAGAGTGAAGGAGGTGCAGAGGTTGCTTCTGCAGTTTGGACAAGTTTCCCGGACTTACTGCTGTCCTGGATTCTGCCAGGTTTTTCGGGTGGACTACTTTGGCTCCAAAGCGTCGCTGGCACAGTTGGGTGCTGAGTCTTATGGATGGCACTTGTCCCACGTGTTGTGTGAATGACCCGATGCTAGCGGGCCCCCCTGAGAAATGGAGGTCAGTATGAGTATTCCTTATTGCTAACAATAAGACGCTATAAAGAAGCTTTTATGTATTCAGTTGTTTGTAGTTGTACGGGATGGTTCTTGGCCGATGCAGCTGCGCACCCGACATTTGAAAGTGAGCAACAGTAGACCGTAGCCGTAGAGGAAGTCTATACCCTTTGGACACTTCAGCTCAGGACCAGCAAGCAAGATGGGCATCTCAAAACGATATCGTTTGAACTTTGAACACTGTAAAACTGATGCCTACAAGATAGTTTTGGTCTTGCCGGGGCGCTGCTCATATCACAGAGGCACTCCATGAGTTTATCCTCGAAAGGGTTTGGGACAGCAGAGTTGCAGTTTGATATCAGAATATGTCATATGATGTCATATGCATGCGTATGTGTGGACACGTACATATGGTACTGTATATCCTGAAACATTGGCAGTAACTGATAAGCAACCAAGGTCACCCCAGCTCTACAAGCAGATGGCGATGTCTGCGGACTTACCGGGGGCGTTTGAGGCCGGCTGCACAACGGTGCATGAGCGACTAGCTGATGTTCTGTTTTAATCGCTTACTGACTAGCTGCTTAGCCCAGACGCTGAGACTTCCCAGGTTGGACCAGTTTTTCGTGCTGAGAACTCCAACACAGCGCGGCATTTGTGCGAGTTCACAGGCACGGGCCCTATGACTGCATTACTTTGTTTTCCTGTTTGTTGGACATGCAGCATGCATGTGTAATGTACAGCATATATGTGATGTTGCATTAGAGATCTAAACAACAAATCGATCAAGTCCGATATTTCTTCTCAGCCTGATCTTGTCGAACTCCGCCTCTTTGAGGCTTGGACTTTGAAATGCCCATTCGTTGGCACTATGAGGAGGTCATCAAGGTGGCAAACGAATGTCTCGTGCAAACTCCTTAATGACCATATCTCCTCCGGCACAGACCAATCAACCCTTCCTGGATTCAATTGCTGCTTATGCCAATTGAGCCAGGTGATTCATGAGACGCTCTCTACAATTTTTCATCGACTCGAGGAGGCACCAATTTACCGAAGAGGAGATGTCGTTGCCTTGAACAGACTTTGAGACACTGGAGAGGAGCAACAGGAGGAGCTGACAATCATCAGAAAGATGTATCCTTCAGAAGCCACGCGCTCATTGTACTGTAGCATACCATAGCTGTATTTTTAAATCACTGGATCCTTAGCCTTAGTCAACTATGTGGTGATGACACTCATTTGGCACAGGGTTGGATGTTTCAGGCACCAAGATTTCTGGAAGAACCATGCGTTCTGTCTGGGGCTAAGCCTGGTAAGTCTGTGTGGAATGATTGAGTGTAAAGACAAAAACTAAGAACAAATGAATGTAATTAAGAGCCTCTTTAAGAAGGCCCCTCTATATCATTCAACAGGCCGTTACCTTCTGTTTATTCTTTCCTGTTTATTTGAGTAATTGTGTATACCGTGTGTAAGTGTCTACGTACGTGTATTCCTTTGAGAGTCTGACTATATCTGAAGAGACGAAAGCAAAGACCATCCTGCCAAGATCATGAGGGCATGTGTCCTTTTATTATCTTGATTTGTTGGACTCAAAGATACAACGGATTCACTTTGTCTTGGAGCCTGAATCGTCTCCTATCAGGCATTGGGAAGAAGCAATGGAACTCCTGAGCAGCAATGGTGCCCACAGAGAGGACAAGACAAATTGATTTCAGATTTGCTCCAAGTGCACGAACGAATCAAAGTGCAGTTTGCATGAAATGCCCACATTTTGGACCCAAGCAGCACACTCTTGATTGCTCTGATATAGAGAGATCTCTAATCATAAAGAGTCACAAAAGGTAGCTTCCCTGCAGCTACCTCGAGTTTGTTTTGGGAAGCAAAGGGAGTTAGGGTGGAATTGCCAGCCACTCAATTAGAGACCCCCCTCTCTATTGAAGGCCCCTGATCAATCTATACACCCCCTGCGCGTGCACACACCCACACACACACTTGCATTAAACAATGATCACTATCACTATGCAAAGACAGATTGCGTCCACCCACCCACCCACCCACCCGCCCATACTGATTGTAGGGCCGTGAAGCAGACATTGCTTTGCATACATTTGCAACAATGCACAATTGCGCTGGGAAAACAAACATTGACACACTCTAGACCGTACATATCTGCCAAAAGGTGAAAAGCACTCACCACCTTTCACACACTACTCTAGGCTCGCATCTTCCTGGCCTGTCAGCAGCATGACTTCAATAAGGATAATACAACTGCATATTCACCTGTTCCATCGTGTGATCAGGCAAGATTTTGTGGGTGGCCCCTTCACCAGAGGTAAAACTGTAAAACCCTTATAAACCACTGCTGTAAGCACATACCATTTCAACTGTAGTGAACACGTTCTACTTCAAGCTTGCACCACGCCAATTTCACAGCGGGGAGCAAACTTCATCAAATTTCATTCTACCAGCTGTGGAAGCTGAAGGAATGCTGGCACCAACTCGCCAGCAGTATGAGCATACTATTTCACCACTGGTGAGCCGCCTACCACTTCACCTGTGGGCGAAGAGCCTGCTCTACCAGAACCCACCCTTCACTGGCATCAAAAACGCTTCACTTCCCCAGCTTATGTTTGCCCGAACTAATGCTCTCTGTGCTTCTTACAGCTTGCGATGGTTGGGTTGATTTGCACATTTTCT